CTGCCTAGCGCTGAAGACTACTGCAGCGCTCCTCCTGAGTGCTGCGGCCGAATCCTGAAGACTACCTCCGCCTACTGACACTACCTACCTGTGAAGTGCATGGGAACCTCCTATGTACTACGGGTGTGCCTCTTGAGCCTGCCGAAGGGAGGCAGGGGCTGCAGCTGCAGCTCCTGCTCGAGTACGTGAGGAACAGGCTATTTTGGGCCTGTTCCGCATCCCTGTTTCYGYGCCTGAGTCTTAGGAGCAGGTCGAAACAATGAGGGCCTGAAAATGGCCCTCCGTTTCAGGCTGAAAACTCTGGGTCTGAAAAGACCCAGAAATAGGCTGAAACGAGGTAGGGCCTGCAGGCCCTCGTTTTTCAGCATCCAGGCTGAAATGAACGGGGCCTGTAAGCCCTAAGTTTTAGGCTTTTAGGCTGAATGTCCGGGACGGGCCCTGTAGGGCCCGTGTGGCTACGCAGTATGCCACACTTCGACTCCGAAGACCAATGTACGTGACGTCAACACCAATGCCGACCTCCCACATACACCAGGTACGTACTCTCAACTCCCCTCATCACCCTTGTCCACCCACACCTGAGCTTACTTCCTGAAGACCACCGTCGCCTCCACCTGCACCTCGTGCCCTGCAGCCCGGCTATGGCCGCTAGCGCCCCGCTGCCCTGCAGCGCCCCTCACCACTCAGCGCCCGCATGCGCCCCAGCCGGGAGTAGCACATGCAGGCACTTGCACGCAATCGCAGCAGCGTGTCCGCATTGCTTGCCTAGGCCAGAATGCCCTGGATTGGCTGGCCTCCTTCCTATATGGGAGAGGCTGCTGCTGCTGGACTGTCCATGGAAGTTTCCAGCAGCTTCCGGTCGGGCCCCAGTGTCTGCCCCCAGGCCCATCTCTACAGTTGAGGGCCTGGGCCCTTTTCAGTTGGGCACACCCAGGATTTTCCAGGCTCCGAATGTTTGCTGTGTTTGCATTGGCCCGCGGCGTGGATGTGACGACAATTCTGCATTCTCAATGGTCCATGGCCACTTCGTGATGTGTCGGCCTCACACTGAGTGTGCCCAGTGCGCAACCACCTGCGTCCTGGACTCAACTGCCTGACGCAGGTGCTGCTTCTGGAAGAGCCCAGGGTGAGGCCCAGGTTGCACTTCAAGCAACTGGGGTGCAGCAACTGTCTGAGACCCACATTGGAGAATGCTGAGATAAGGGCCTCTCGTGGATATTCAGGCCCGCCTTCACTTAGGGTGGACACGAGGCTTGCTGGGGGCCACAGTCTAGAACATATGCATGTTGTCTAAGGCCCCCTGAGGGCACATTCCTCACATTCCATCCCCCTTAGCTTCGAAAGTCCGCTGAGATGCTTCTATACAGGTGCCTTCCCCTTCAACCTTCTTTCATAGTCTGCCACAATCTGAGGTGCTGTTTCAATTAGTTCCTCTCTGGTGAACCATCGGTCTTCTTTTGGATCCGTGTGATGCCGGAATCTGACCCGGTACTCCTCTTGGGTTTCGGCGGGCTTCCTGTACCCACAGGCTTAGGAATAGGCATGTCTCTGTGCTCCAAAATGTCGTCGACGCCCACGTGGCCATCCATGGTTGGGGGAAGCATTGATCCTTCTTGGTCTCAGCGAAAGGTGCAAGCTTTGAGGTGAGAAACACAGGGTAAGTGCGTAAGTGACCAGGGATACGAATCACATACGAGGGACCATCCAGTTCACTACCCACAATATCCAAGACTTGCCAAGGACCGAAGTATTAAGGCACTAGTTTCCTAGAGATGCCGAATTCCTGTCCTAGCTCACTAGACTTAACCCAGACACATTCCCCTACCTGAAATGTGGACTGTCGTCGATGTTTGTTCTCAGAAGCAATCATTGCTTCTTGAGATTTCTTGATGTGTTTGACAGCTTGCTGCAGCATCTTCTCATACTGGACACCAAATTCAATGATTCTAGGAGTTGCAGCAGATCGGTTTTCAGGCAGAAGGAAGTCTAGAGCAGAACTAGGCTTCCAACCCAGGTGCAGCTGATTCGGGCTGACGCCAGAGGTAACTTCTCATCCCAGTCATCTTGGCTGGGCTTAATGTAATGCCTCAGCAGATGCTGCACCACTCGATTCATCTGTTCAGCTTGCCCGTTGGCGTCGGGATAATTCCCAGCAGTTCTGCAGCCTTCTTCCACATTTCACTGGTGAAGCGGACAACTCTGTCACTAAGGATAGTTTTTGGCAGTGCAAAGTCACGCACCCAGTTATCCATTAATAACTTGATGATGTGTTCAGTCCTCGCAGCTAGTGAACCTATCAACTATAACGAAGATATGTCTCTTGCCACTCTTGCTGGTCACAAGGGTGTCCATGGAGTCCATGGAAACACTCTGTCCTGGACCAGCAGGAATGGGCAAGGGCTTAAGTAAACCAAGCGGGGCCCGAGTTCGTGGCTTGTCCCGCTGACAGACTTGACAAGTCTGTACGTACTGCTTGCCTTCGTCGAGCATCCCAGGCCACCAAAATCACTGTACCAGATTTGCACTAGTCTTTTTATAGCCACAATGTCCCATCGCATCATGACGCTCTCCTAAAAACAAACTACGCAAAATCTCACTAGCTGGAACAACTAATCTCTTAAACCCTGCGTTTTCAAGAAAGAGTAACCCATCCACCATCACAAACTGATGTGGCCTTGTCTTGGGCCTGAAGTTTGCGTATGATGTCCATCATCGTGACAGGATCTTCCTTGTAGGCTTCCACCATTGATCAAGTTACATCGTCAGATAAGCCAAACTCAGTTATTAGCGCACCTAGGTAGTCTGCCCTACGTGACAATGCATCAGCAACCTTGTTGTACTCTCCCTTCACATAATCTAGCTTGAGCCTTGGAAGTCATATTGGTCGGATTCTGACTGCTCAGGCCAAGCGCAGTCCTGGCCGGATTCTGACTACTAAGACCTGGGTGACCCATCACCAAAATGGAAGGTAAGGCCAGATTCCGACTGCTCAGACCAAGCACAGTCCTGGTCTGAAGTCAGTTTTTTCTTTCTTGGGGATCCTTGCCTCTTTTTTGACTTGCCTGGTTTTGCCGGGCGACCCCCTCCCTGCCCAGCTGGCCCTGGTGTGCCCAGTCGGGCGACTGCCCAGCATAGCAAAATGGTGAATTTATCTTCTACCAGAATGTGGAAAAGTACAGCCACGGCTACCATAATTTTGCCTTTTTCAAACTTGGTGAGTGGTTTCGGCAAGGCCCTTTATTAGAGTAAAAGTGACTAAAGCTGAGCTGTAATTGTATGCGTATAGTACCTTAGAGTCTATACTACTCTATGGACTCTATCGAGTCTACAGGCTCAGTACAGAGTCTATTAATATTTATATTCTTTAGACCACCACTACCTTTCAGAGGCAAAGGGTAAGTCGTAAATATAATGTACACCGGGGTTGCATGCCTGCTGACCGCAGATCCCGACCGCCGACCATTTTGCAGCCGATCAGTAGGCCCGACCAGTTGGCGGTCTGCCGACCAGTTGGAAAACACTTCAAAACAGCCATCCACAATTATTTTTCAAACCTGAGTTGGGGTGTTTCGGGGGTGTAGGGGGGTATTGGGGGCAGGTATGGGGGTGTTGGTGGGGTTATTGGGGGTTCTGGACCCAATTTTTTTTCTCTTTTTTTTTTCCTTTTTTTTTGTGGGGTGCCGACAACCCCCGACCGGTAGGTGCTGACTAGCCGACCGGTCGGCTGGTCGGCAGCCGACGAGTCAAGGGCCGCTGACCGTCCGGGTATATGCAACACTGACGTACACCACATTCTTTGGAGGCTTTGGGCCTTGGGACCAAATGGCTGGCAGCACCAGCCAAAAAAAAAAAAAAAAAAAAAAAGGGTGCACTGGCGCTTTGCAAACCTTGGCGCGCAGCTGTTCTCTGCCTAGGCAAAACGAGGCTCGGAGGTAGTGGTGGATGGACTAAGGGTGTACGTCCCACTAGCACTTCAATCTTTTTCACCTATTTCTAAACGGAATTGCGGCCAGATGCATACAGGTCCAGCCATAAATGCGGTCAGCTACATTTACGATAGTGCTAGTGTGAATGCACCCGAAGTGTGAATATTCGGAGGTTGACAAAAAATTGTGACAGTTCAAAGGAGGAAAAAAAGAAGGAGAAACAAAAAAAACTGTAATGTGACAATGGTTGCGTTGTTGTTTATTGTGTTTTGTACCAGACGTGCACAGAGATGGTGATGCCATTTGCAAGCAATCCGAACAACAGCATGTTTGAGCCGTATGATTGGGATCTGAACGCCTACATTAAATCATGCCAAGACGACTTTGGTGTTACCCCAAGACCTAATTGGATTACCACTCAGTACGAAAGCAGGGTCAGTCTCTCTCTCTCTCTCTCTCTCTCTCTCTCTCTCTCTCTCTCTCTCTCTCTCTCTCTCTCTCTCTCTCTCTCTCTCTCTCTCTCTCT